CTAATGACATGAGTTGGACAGGCAAACGAGTGACGCTCCGGGACGTGCACAATTTGGTCCGCAGGCTAAGGGCAAAACGTCGTGGCGCTACCACGGTTGAAGACAGGCTTGAGGCGGTGCTGCAAAACTTTTGCTCTGTTCGGGGGAACACTGCCTCCATCTTCGTTGATGATAGGAAGACAACGCAGACAATTACAATGCAGACACGGCAAATGGGACGATTCTTTGACGCTTTTCCGGAAGTGGTGCTGCTGGATTCGACCCACGGAACCAACGCTGCGAAGTACAAGCTCTTCAGCTTCATGATCGAAGATACGTTTGGCCACGTAAGTACTGCATTCTGTCCCGATTAGTTGGTGATCAATTCGTGACTTTGCGAAATGGTTAGTGATCAGTTGGTGTAGTTGGGGACTCATTAGTGACTATAACAATTGCTATGCTTTGGTTAGTGATTGACACATCTTGCGTCGTGGTTCTTTCATGATAGGGTCAATATGTTCAACATGCATTGGTCGAAAACGAGAGTCATGCGTGCATGAAGGATGCTATCAATGCATTCAAGGAAAATAATCCTTCGTGGGACCAGATTCGCGCCTTCATGGTCGACAAGGACTTCGGAGAGATCACGCTTCTACAAAAGGAATTCCCGTTAGCTCGTGTATTGATTTGCCATTTTCATCTGAAGAAATATCTTCGTGCTGAGATGTCGAGCGCTATCTACGGCGGCCGCCATGGCGTGGATGTGGATCGTGTCGAAGACTCGCTCGACATGATGGTGAAGGATCGAACTAAAGAGGAGTATAATCGCGGCTTCAGGTACATGTACTACATTTTGGACGGATTTGATGAAGTAGGAGAGCTACCAGAGCTACCTGAGCCGAAGCACCCTCTGCTCCAATATTTCGTTCGAAACTGGCATTCCTGTAAAGAAATGTGGAGCATATACGAGCGTGGTGATGTCGCTCATCTTGGCAATCATACCAACAACCGGTAAGAATGTTGTACATTCGCCGTGATGCTTTTGCTATTAGACTAATCGCTCGCTTGTTGCTATGATGCAGACTTGAGTCAGCGTGGGGGGCGCTAAAAAAGATTCTGCGACCAGAGATGGAGCTGGACGAATGCGTAGAAACGCTTTTTTTTCTTCAGTCTACAGCGGAATTGGAGTATGCGTCGCGTTTTAATGTTCTAGGCTCACGGCATTATCATGGCGCAGATGAGATGCTGCTTCGGTTGTCAGCATTGGTGAGCCCACACGCGTTTGAGCTGGTTAGAAAGGAATACGAGCTGTTCAAGAGTGGCAGTGTTTCGTACGAAGGTAAGTGGCTGCAACATTCAATCGCCCGTCTGAAGTCGCTCACAACCGATTGTGAATATACTGTTGATGTTTCGGTAAGTCAGCGTGGTAGCATATTTTTGGTTAGTAGATGTTGTCTCATGATACTTTGTGTTTTGCATGCAGACATATACATGCTCCTGCTTTTTCATGCGAACTATGTTGCTTCCGTGCCATCACGCAATGTTTGTACGGTCATCGATGGACAAAAAGAAGGTGATCCCTGTGAACTATATTCATACACGATGGTTGTTACAGTCCGAAGCAAACCGGCCCGAAGAAGACGAGTTAGGCGATGATATTTCTTGTGCTGCACTTCGATTACAAACTTCGCATATGAGGTCTGTGGAACATGCAGTTTTGAATGGGTCTACGAAGTGGAAGACTGGCATGGATATTGCTGGCAGTGTCGTGGAGGCGATGTGCTCCCAAGGAACTCCCACTTACCTAAAGATGGCTGAAGCGTTGCGAGAGTTTGGAGAATATCTTAAGCAGGGCTATGTACCGAACATTTCGGGATCTGATCAAAATTCACCTGCGAAGTTGAATTGTCAAGCTGGTGAAAATGGACCAGACTTCACTTATTCGGATGAATCTAATAGTGAAAATGGGTTGGACTTCAAGAACTCGGACGATTCTAATTGTCCATCAACACGAAGGGCGACACAAGCATCAGAAAACAGCGATCGTGTATTGAAGTTGGATAGTGTTGATGGTTCGGATGCCGGTGAAATTGTTGGAGATGGTAGTATTGAAGCCATTCCGTGTGTCGCCAAGCCAGTCGATGTGGAAGGTGCTGAGTTAATTGCTGACATGAACCGCAACCTCGCCACCAAAGCCGTCGTCAAAGCGAAGAAGTGGCACCACCTGACCAATAAAGGTCCCGTCAAAGCAAAGAAGAAGCGCGACCTTGCCACCAAGGCAGCAGCGAAACCCAAAGAAGATCTCTGTGCGAGGACTAACTCGGATTCGGGTTCGAGGGGCGAGTCTAATACGGACCCCAACCAGTAAGTAAAAGACCCCAACCAGTTAGTAAATGACCCCAACCAGTTAGTAAAAGACCCCAGCCAGTTGGTTAAAGACCCCAACCAGTTGGTTAAGGACCCCAACCAGTTGGTTAAGGATCCCAACCAGTTAGAGAAACACCAGTCACCTTTGAGCGAGTCTGATTCCAATCCCAATCAGTTAGTGAAAGACCCCAATGAGTTGGTGAAAGATGACAACCAGTTGGTAAAATTTCCCAACCAATTGGTCCTTCATAAGCGATGTACAGCAGCAACGGATGAAAGCGATGATGCGAGCAGCAGAGATAGCTCCAGCAGTGAAGTACTTACAGGAAAATTTATCGTCAGCAAGGCAGTGAAAAGCAAGGGAAGGCCAAAGGTGCGTCGAAAACAAGTACGTGAAGCTAAACGACTTCGTATGCGTGAGTCAAGCGCCGAGGCAAACGAACTAGTTCAAGGAAGACCCGTCCCTGTAAAGGACTTATCGCTTTTCGGAAGACGCTAGAGCACAACGGCAACGTGGCAGATGCTTTACCAGTCCTGAACAGCATCACGCCAGAAGACCCACCGACTTGGAAGGCGACTTCGATCGTGCTCCTCGCGAGAAAGCAGAAGGTTCACCGCAAAGTCACGATTGTCTTCCCGAAGAATTATGTTGCTAAGTGTATGGCAGGAATCAAGATCTATTAAAAGTCGTTGCCAAGCGATCATCATGCGGGCAGAATGGGGGTATCTATTTCGAAGATGGGTACTTTTGCGGAGGAAGATCTGAAAGCGATGCTCACGTGGCATGATGAATATCCGAAGCTGGTTGCTGTTCATGATCTTGCAGAATGGATCAGAGTTTCAAAGTTCACTCGACTTTCGCTACCTAGCCCGCTAAACAACTGCACCACCGTTGATTTGAAAGCTTGCGCAGCACGTCTAGAATCGATCAGTGTAACAAAGTTGGTCAGTACACGGTTCGGACAAGTGCAAGTACATGAACTAGTATTTTTTCGGAGATCTGAGTGGCTGGATGACTCGTGCTTCAAAATTGTTATGAGCCATCTTATCGATCAAGACCAAGACAAAAGCGGAAGAAGTCGTATTGGAGGGGTGAATCCATTGTATGCGAGAGTGCATGACGAATCCATGAAGCAACAAGTTATTGCCAACTCGCCATGTCAGACTACCAACCGGTTAGTTCTCATTCCTATGTATCTGGAATCGCACTGGGCTGGTGTTGTCCTGGATTACGAGAAGAGGAAAGCAACGATGTTTGACCCGGCGCAGACGATGACAAACTACAAGGAAATCAGCAAAATTTTGGACAAGTATTTTGGAGGATACACTGAGACCCTTGATCCGATTCATCAACGCGCCCCACGACAAGAAGACATAAATAGTTGCGGTCCCTTAACTCTCTTGTTCTTTGAGTGTGCTGTGCGGGGTATCCCAGCTCCCAAGGTTCCCAGCGAACAAGTCGAGTATCTACGCTTTCGTTTTTTTTCTTCTGTCTAGCAAGGGAGTGTTCTGCAGAAACCCTGGGGTAACCATGAACGATTCATAACTGCACAAAATACATTGCCGTTTTACTTTGTTGATCCGGAATCGCGAAACGCTAAGTCATGGCACTCTGAATCTGCGTAACCCGATCCCACGTTGAGACGAAAGCCGCCGACGACAGGCATACTTAACCCGATCCCACGTTGAGACGAAAGCCGCCGACGACAGGCATACTTGACGGGACTAAAATAACAATAGATTGCAAAATACCCATAGTTGCGCTTTGTGGCCACGGCTGCTTTGGATTTCATGAGCGATGGCAGACACAAATTTTCGCTAAGTCGCCTCCACACTCAGCCAACATTCGTACAACGTCACACTAAAATCTTTACAATCAGCTCATTCGTAGAGAAATCAGATCGTACTTAATATTTTTGTTTCGTACCTAAGGTTTTTAATACGTACTTAGCAGGATTAAATTACGAACCACTAACGAAAAACTAACCGGTTAGTGGTGATTGGTCATCTTGGTTGGTGATCAATGGACCGGCTATGCAAACTGGTTAGTGACTCTAACACGAGCCTAACAATATTGGCCCGAAGTGTGTCCAAAGGGTATCGGCTGCATACAAAATCAAATACATTAAAATCTGGCCCGTAATATGTCGACCACGGATATAGAAGCTCTTACTACTGTGATGTGTAATACGAAGCACTTTTGCATCTTCCAAGTGTTACTATTAAGAAAGAACAAAACCAAAACTATATTTTTAGCGAGAAAATGCGCATCGTACTGTAAATCCTGAAATTTTGCCCCAGCACTAGTACCTCACCTTATGCTGGGGTGCTATAAGACGTGGGGTACTATTAGAGGGGCTGTATTAAGTGGTATATCGCCATATCCCTACCTAGAGACCGTCGATCCACTCTAGTCCTCTAGAAATGTCACGTGGGGTACTACCAGAGGGTGGCCCACACTTTCGGATTTACAGTTTAATTCTTGATCACAGACACATTTCCATTCTAGAACAGGCACATTTACTTATACAAGTACTGACAAACGTCCAGTGTCATAGACTTGTTCTTAAAATAAAACGGTTTTATGCTCGTGAAAAGGCAACCATGTGTGTGTGTACGACGGCGTCGACTACTGTACGACGTATGGTCTCAGGATGGGTGAGTACTATCTCGGTCTCTTCGGTATGGATACGGAGAAAAAGTGGGTTGCGTACGGCATCGTCTACACTGCGGCCATGTATTTAGTATTCATGATCCTGTCCTACGTGGCTCTGGAGTATATCCGCTACGAAGTGCCTGAAAACGTGGACGTGTCGGAGAAGCCGGAGGAAGACGAATCGTACACGCTTCTGGAGACACCCAAGACGAAGAACGGAACAAGCACGCTGGACGACTACGTGGTTGAGGTAGGCTCGCGTGAGAAGAACTTCACACCCGTGACGGTGGCATTCAAGGACTTGTGGTACTCAGTGCCAGACCCGCAGAACCCCAAGGAATCGCTGGACTTGCTGAAGGGCATCAACGGTTTTGCCGTACCCGGGTCGATCACTGCTCTCATGGGTTCGTCGGGTGCTGGTAAGACGACGCTGATGGACGTGATTGCCGCCCGTAAGACTGGCGGCAAGATCTCCGGCAAGATTTTGTTGAACGGCTACGAGGCCAATGATCTCGCTATCCGTCGTTGCACCGGTTACTGTGAGCAGATGGACGTGCACTCGGAGGCTGCTACCATTCGTGAAGCGTTGACATTCAGCTCGTTCCTGCGTCAGGACGCCTCGATCCCGGACGCCAAGAAGTACGACTCGGTGAATGAATGTATTGAGCTGCTCGGTCTGGAAGACATCGCCGACCAGATCATCCGTGGCATTTCAGTGGAGCAGATGAAGCGTCTGACGATCGGCGTGGAGCTGGCTGCGCAGCCGAGTGTGATTTTCCTGGATGAGCCGACGAGTGGCCTGGACGCGCGCTCGGCTAAGTTGATCATGGACGGTGTTCGCAAGGTGGCCGACTCGGGTCGTACCATTATCTGTACGATCCACCAGCCGTCGTCCGAAGTGTTCTACCTGTTCGACAGTCTGCTGCTACTCAAGCGTGGCGGGGAGACCGTGTTCTACGGCAACCTGGGCAAGAACTGCCGCAACCTGGTCGACTACTTCGAGGGCATCCCCGGCGTAGCTCCGCTGCCAAAGAGATACAACCCGGCCACGTGGATGCTCGAGTGTATTGACGCTGGAGTAGGCAACGCTGCGAACCAGACCAACTTCGTGGACTGCTTCAACAAGAGTTCGTACCGACTGGTGCTCGACAGTGAGATGGCCAAGGAAGGCGTGACCGTCCCGTCGCCCGATCTGCCCGAGATGGTGTTCGGCAAGAAGCGTGCGGCCGATTCCAAGACGCAGATGAAGCTCGTCGTCACCCGTTTCTTTCAAATGTACTGGCGCACCCCGACGTACAACCTGACCCGTATGATCCTGGCTGTCTTCCTGGCGCTGCTGTTCGACCTCGTGTTCGTGGACGCAGAGTACAATTCGTACGCTGGCTTGAACTCGGGTGTCGGCATGATCTTCCTCGCGGCGCTGTTCAACTCGGTGGTGGCCTTCCAAAGTGTGTTGCCTCTGTCATGTGCCGAGCGCGCCTCGTTCTACCGCGAGCGCGCGTCACAGACGTACAACGCGTTCTGGTACTTCGTGGGGGCCACACTCGTAGAGATCCCGTACTGCTTCGCCACCGGCTTCGTCTTTACGCTTATCTTCTACTACATGGTGGGCTTCCCGGAGTTCGGACCGTCCGTCGTGTTCTGGTTGGCCACCTCTCTCATGGTGCTCTCGCAAGTCTACCTGGGCCAAACGTTCGCGTACGCCATGCCGTCCGAGGAGGTGGCGGCCATCCTAGGACTTTTGTATAACACATTCTTCATGATGTTTATGGGCTTTAGCCCCCCGACGTACGCGATCCCGTCGGGCTACACCTGGCTGTACGACATCTCGCCGCTGAGGTCCCCTCTCGCCATCATGGAAGCGCTGGTGTTCGCCGACTGCGACGAGCTACCGACGTGGAACGAGACCACGCAGTCCTACGAGAACGTCGGTTCGAAGCTCGGTTGTCAGCCCATGAAGGAGGCACCTGTGACCGTGGGGCATATCACGCTGAAGGAGTACACAGAGGACTTTTTCGGCATGGAACACGACAAGATCCTGCGCAACTTCGCCGTTGTGATTGGATACCTACTGCTCTTCCGTGTCGTGGCGCTACTGTCGCTGCGCTACATCAACCACCAGAAGAGATAAGTCACACACGCGCAGTTGCTTACAGGCTTTTTTCATAAATTCATTCAACATGGTTGCCTTTTCACGAGCATAAAACCATTTAATTTAAGAACAAGTCTATGACACTGGACGTTTGTCAGTACTTGTATAAATAAATGTGCCTGTTCTAGATTGGAAATCTGTCTGTGATCAAGAATTAAACTGTAAATCGGAAAGTGTGGGCCACCCTCTGGTAGTACCCCACGTGACATTTCTAGAGGACTAGAGTTGATCGACGGTCTCTAGGTAGGGAAATGGCGATACCACTTAACCCCTCAGTTACACCGACGGACAGAATGCAACTGCCGACAAAACTAACTGCCAGTCAGTGTAAAAAGGGCGTGCAAGATAGAAGAGATGCGCAAATCCTATTTTATCAACCAATCGAATCACTCAAAATCCTGATTTTATTCGCCGATCCAGCCGTTATTTCTGTGCCAGTCACTTTGTAAGATGGAGGAAACCAGCCGTTATTTCTGTGCCAGTCACTTTGTAAGATGGAGGAAACCGTCGAGCCCGAGCCACCCACAGAGCCTCCATCAGCGCTGCAAGGCGCAGAGGAGGCTGCCATCGCGAGCCTTGTTGACGAGGTCTTTTCCCAGCCAACGCAACGTAGAATGCACTACTCAATGGAGCAGAAACGACACGCTCTCCTAGCAACAGAAGGTCTTAGTGAGCGTGAAGCTGCACGCTCGCAAAAAATACCGCGGTGGACGCTCAATGGCTGGAGAAAGAACAAAGAGGACATATTTGCGTTCAGAGGCAGCGAGAAGACGCTTTCTCGTGCGCCTGGGCGTCCCGAGATGGTCCCGTTCAAGGTGGAGCTGATCACCTTCATGAAGGACACTCGTAGTGAGAGTCGGCCCCTCACCGCCTCCATCATGGCCTCTTACATTCGTGACGAGCACCCGGCGTGGCTACAGGGCTACACTGAAGGAAAGAAGGACACGTTTACAGCATATGAATCGCTACTAAAGCTGATGCGCCGCTTTGCCTACCGGCACGGCTTCGTGCAACGCACTCCGCACGGTTTAAAGGTAACCCATACATTGTAATATTACCTCTAGTTAACTGATATCTAACTGATAATTTATGCTGCTATGTATTCCTTCTTTCTATAGGAAAAACTCGAAGACCTAGAAGCTGTTCAAAAAGCGTTTGCTTGCGTTTTTGAGGCCAAGTATAGCGGATATAATGCAAGCGAGGTATTTAACTGCGACGAGACTGGCGTTTACTTTGACGCGCCACCAGGCAAGATTTTGTCGGAAAGGGGCCAATCGTCGGCAATAACCGCCCAGCAGAAGCATTCTGCCAGATTGACCGCTGTGTGCACAATTCGCGGTGACGGCGTTAAGCTCCCCCTACTTTTCATAGTACGCGGGGAGCAAAGCGGCATCATCGAGAAGGAAGAGGTGCCAGCTTATCCTGAAGGTACGCTGTATTATTTTGATCTTTCTGAATAACTACATGTATAACTGACTTGCTGTGACATTACTAGCCATATTTACACTGTTCAGAGCAAGGCCTGGATGGACGCACGGGTGTGGAAGTTCTACTTGCGCTCCCTACTGCAGAAACATATCGCAAGCCATTCTCTGCTGCTTGTTGATAACTTGGAGTGTCATGTTTCTGGTGAATCTGAGGCGATTATCTCGGAGGAGCTCATGGCAGTGCTCCAGCCACTGCAAAAAAACTCTACTTCCGTGTGCCAACCTTTAGATGTAGGCATCATGGGGCCTCTGAAGGCGAAGCTGAAGGCTTTGTGGCTGACCGAAAAGGCTACCGCTACGACGGCAAAGGAGAAACGCATAGCGACGATCAAGCGTGTAATTGCGGCATGGGAATCTATCGAGGCCAACACAGTGACGAAAGCGTTCCACAAGGCACTCGACACGAACTATAAAATACAGCTGCCTCCTCGTAATTCATTGCTTTTGCAATATAAAAATACAGCTGCCTCCTCGTAATTCATTGCTTTTGCAAATCCTTAAAATATTGAAGACCTTTGCTTCCTAGCAGCTGTTTCTACAAAGTGAGGTGGCATTTGCATTCTGTCCGTCAGTGTACCAGAAGATCCGTGTTGAAACCGCCTATTTTACGTCGTAAGTTACGACTTTATTTTAGTATATTTATTTGTATGGATGTGTCTTTTCCACACTGGATTCCCGCTATAAACTGTCAGAGGATATTCTGAGCTACGTCGTATGAGTTACGACATTATGAGCACGTCGTATCACGAAAAGCCATAACTTACGACGTTCAAGTATTGTTTTTGTCGAAGCAGATGCCTATTTACACATCCGTAGAGATCCTCGTACAGCAGAGAAAGAGCTACATTTACATAAACTAAGTGCTGTCCAAACGCATTCAAACGATTGCCGATTGCTGAGCTGGCTGATCCTCTTCATTGTCGACCTCGCCGTCTTGTTGACAGAGCAGCTCACGCCGAGTTGGTTTTCGAGTACCAGCCTTGGCTGATCGTCGCAAGACGACTCGCTTGCCGAGCGATGCTGGGATGGAAGCCCCACTGTCAGAGTCTTCGTGCCAAATCTGATAGCATGTTTTGCGCACGCCTCCGTAGCTATGGCGCCACTTGGGGCAGAGGAAGCACTTTGCGTCTGCGTGTGAGCAATCCTCACAATAATAGGTCGTTTGAAAGGATTTTTTTCGATCGCCTCGTAGAAGAGCGCATACTTTGCAAGAGCGTTGCCGGCGCTTTTGGGTGCCTGAAACGGTGACCCAGTCGTCGAACTGGATGTGTTTGTGACCGTCTAGTCGGCGGCGCTTGCGAGAGCGAGCCATAGGAGAAGGTGTAGGAGCAGTAGCTTCAATGAAGTCGTCGGCTTTGAGTTGCATTAATTGGTTATGAAGTAGAAGATACCCTTCTCCACAATCTTTTGGTACCAGCCTTCTTGATCCGGCATGTTTCCTTGTGTGTGAGATACGCATTGACGAGTGCCATGTCCATGAAACCCATGAACAGTGACTTGTAATACTTCCTGAAACGGAAAGCCGTTTGGATTGAATAGGACTGCAGGCGAAGTTGATCATGTACATCAACTCCGCCCATCCAGCGTTGGTAATCAGTAACTAACTTTGGGCATTTGACGCAAGACGGCCCGACCATCTTGACGTTGCGACGAATAGAGTCCTCTGCCATGACCGGACCCGTGGCCAGGTAGTGGACCGGCTTTCGGTCCCACCAGTGGCAAGCTATCATGGTCGGTATAGCAGTGGAGCGAGAGAACGCAAAAGTACCACGCTCAATCGCTCGAGGACGTGTTTTACGCTTCTCAATAACTTGCTTGTCGAACCCCAGTCTGTTGACCATGTCGTTCCCACCACGTAGATACCCATCGATAGAAGCTGATTAGCCAGTGGGATAGACGAGTAAAATCGATCGATCACTACCAATCGAAACCCTTGTGATCGATCTCCCAGAACGGCTTTCATGTTTCGAATAACTGCAGCAGCCCCCGTCTTATCGTCGACTGCTTGCTGATCACCATCCTCGGTCTCACGCTTTCCGACGTACACCTCGAATCTATAGTAGTAAGTTACGACGTAATAAAATATCGTATTACAATTCAAGCCGTAAGTTACGACATAATTATTAAACGAAACAAAGTTACCGGTGGCAGGATGCACTCACAGAATCGCAAGCCATAAACAACTTGGTTCCGTATCGATGGGGCTTGTCGGGCATAAACATCCGCGTGGTGTTGCGCTTGGACGTGGCTGGTAGTACGCCTTCGTCAAACGAGAACTTACTGCCGCGTGACCAGCCAGATCGAAACCGAGTTTGCAACGTGTCGACAACAGGCCGTAACTTCCACAATTTGTCTCGAATCCGTGGGGCTTCGTTGCTCACGACATGGAAGTCTCGAAGAATTTACGTGCAGCGGTTTCGAGCCATGAACTTGCCAAAGTTTCCGGCAGGTATTGCACCGTCTTCGGTCATTGACCAATGCCGAGAAAAGCGACGCGTCATTGGATTCAGCATTCTTGCCACTAAGAGCCCAATGACGTGGAGTGTCTCATGAGTTTCGTACGCAGCCTCGACGCGCAATCGCCTTTCAATCTGCTTAACAGTCTCGGGGGCTGGTACAGTGCGTTTCCTTTGCTTCTGTCGGATTCGCTTAGCTCTGGCGTGTACTGTCTGCTTCTTGTAGCGATTTGTCTCCATGGTGATGGTAACCCACAGTGATTTTGGTAGGAAGTAAAATAGAAGCAGCAAGGGAGAATCCGCCATGTCCTGTAGCTCCCTGATCGGTACGGCGACGTCCGTAGACAGGCGAGGGTACCCTCCACTGTCAGCTTCGAAGATGGACGAAGGAGGACTCCACTCAAAGCTCCGGAGTGCGGCCTTGTCGATCGACTCCAGTGTTAATTTGCCACCTAACGCCTCGACAAATGCGTCGTCCATCAGAGCAACGTCTTCATCGTCCTCAAGTGTGTCGTCGGGGTACTCACGCCTCACGATGATATCGTCGCCACTATTGTCGCTGCTGTCGCTGCCACTAGAATCGACGGCCTCGTATTCATCCGAAAGATCTCCATCGCCCATAACATTCACGTCGGTTACCGGCAGTGCCACACGGCAGTCATCCTCCACAGTCCCATTTCCACACACACTTGCGCCTTTCTCTTCCACACTGGCGCAACCATCATCGTTGTCGTCCGAATTGCTCGACTCGGCGCCTGATAGGAGCCGCTGGAACGCCCCTACGACCATCTCTCGATCCGACTGCTCCAACTGATCCTCCGCTTCCGACTGGGGGTCACTGTCCGTGCCAAACATCGCCGATAAGGTGTTGGCCGACAGCGCGATGGATGTGTCTATCTGTGACGCCGTCACTGTAACGTCCACCGGCACGACCTCATCACTGCCCACCTCCCTCTCACTGCCGCCACTCTCTTCAGCAATAAGACCAGTCTCGATTGCAAAAGCCACCACAGCATCCTCTTCTAGACAAGTGATA